AAAAAAACAAAGGGAAAAATGTCGGAAAATGCGCGAACTTTCAAATTTGGTACAAAAAAAGCATGAACTTTCGAAATGTCATTTAAATCATAAAGTTTAGTTTGACTTTTGATTAAATGGTTAAGTTTTCGTTGACCTGGCAATTTCGGACATTTCGTTAAATTTCTGTTAACGAGACGATGATGGGGTTAACTTTCCGTTATAAATGTCCATTGAATCGAAACGATGGAAAGTTCGATTCTTCACAGACGCAGTTAATTCATTTTATTTTCCACTGAAATGACGTCGTTTTGTTGTTTTTAAACCGACGTCGTTTCGATTCAACGGAGATTTCTAACGGAAAGTTAACTCCGTCAACGTCTCGTTAACGGAAATTTAACGACATGTCCGAAATGGCCAAGTCAACGAAAACTTAACCATTTTATAAAAAGTCAAACTAAACTTTATGATTTAAATGACATTTCGAAAGTTCATGATTTTTTTGTCCCAAATTTGAAAGTTCGCGCATTTTCCGACATTTTTCCCAAAAAACAAATCCATTTTTGCCTTTTATTGTTTGGAAACAAAAACGACATTCTTTTTTTTTGGACAAAGACTTGTTTTCATTCATTCAAATCAAACCAAGTACAAGGAGGGGTGATTCAAAGATCACAAAGTTTAAAACAGAGATAAAAGAGACGATCCCCAATGTCATAACAAGATAGATAAGGTGAAACGACATAAATTCCATGAGAGCTTTGAGACAAAAGCTATAAAGCATTCTGAAACATGTGAGGTCACGGTTAGTCGAGTGATCTTCCACGAGCGAATCGATGGATGACAAGTTGGTCACTGTCAAAAGACGGGGTGACGTTGAAGAGGGTTCCATGTCCGAGGATCTCGTCGGCGCGAGGAGGGCGAGCTGGAATTGCTCATCGGCAAGGAAGTGGGTGATGACGGTTCTATGGTCGGGTAGGTTTGGAGATAAAGAGTTGATGAAGTTTCGGTAACCACCGCTCCTTGGAGACGGGATCATAATGCCGTTCTTCCTCAAGCTCTCAATTTCATGAATAATAACCTTAAAGTTGGAGATGTGCACTTGTTTGAAATCAATATTCAGAGGAAATAGGGAAAACGGATTGAAGAAGCTTCGGTAACCACCGCTCTTTGGAGACGGGATCATAATGCCGTTCTTCTTCGATCTAAAAACTTCATAGGTAATATCCCTAGGTGATTTTAAGGGCAGGGTTCCCAAAATATATATGTACCAAACTAGCAACAATGGTGAATTATGTTCCAAATGACGTCCTTGATCAATTGTTTCCATAAAACAACTCAAAGTTTGACTAAGAAAGGACAAAAGAGAGTTTAGATCAAACCTGGGCAAAAATGAAGAGGGTCGTGTTCTTAATATTTTTCTGGCCAGAATAAGACAAATGGGCCTGGATTGGGTAGTTAGAGGAGCTGGGCTGCCATTTGAACAATGCACAAATGGGAGTAAGGCTTTGCTAATAATCTTGTAGGTGGGCTTCAAGACTCTTATTGTTGGGCCGCAACTCTTCAAGATGAAGACCAATAGAGTAAACGTTGGGCCCTGATGATGTTGTTGATTATGTGGGCCGAGCCCATTAAAAAAGATTTCCAACAAGATTAGGGTTTTGCCATGCGCCGTCAATGTTTTTACCGGGGGAAGCGCAGTCACCGACGGTCCAAGGGTCTCCGGCCACGAGAAACAAACCAATAGCTCGTAACTGAGCCATGGGGGATCCAACTGATGAGCATGGGGAGGTGGAGCTCTTGCCGTGGACAAATTCCGGTGAGTAGAAGCTTCATGGGAAGTCGAAAAAGTCAGATCTGGAGAAGCCGAGGATGAGGCTAATCTCAGATTTGGAAAGTGAAGCGCCGTTGGTTTTTTAGGGTTTCTCATGGGTCGACTTTGGATCAAATGTCGAGAGCAAAGGGTAGAGCAGGAGGAGGTTCGCCGGGAACCACCTTCTTCCTCTGTCTCCGAGATGTAGCACACCGTCGAAACTAGTCCCAAGAGTAAAGGTTCGTGAAGATTGAGAAACTGGCCAAAATCAGAAGATAACAAAGAAAAATTAAAGAAGGAATTTAAAGGGGAGGAGGATATCCCGACGCCGGCAAGCAAAAGCCTCACCGGCGTCGGAAAGAAGATCGGAGTAAAAGGCTCGATAATAGTGCCTGGGAGCGTTTCAAAAGCAGTACTCTCTTAATTTAGACACTCATTATTCACTTCTCTCCCAAAAAAACCCTAGAAATCCGTCGCCGTCGAGTCATTCCGGTGAAGAAGTCACCGTCGCCGTTGAGTCTCCGTGTGAAGTCGTCGCGCCGTCGATAGTCCTAATCTTCCGTCCAAATGCATGTCGAAAGTTTCGCTCGCCGTCGAGTCTCCGTGAGTGTTTGATTCGCCGTAATTGCTTTCGCCGTAATTGCTTTCTTCTCCGGTGGATTTCCTTTGCCGTAGAGTTTCCTTTGCCATTCGTTTTGATCTAGCAAGGTAAACTCTTAAAGTTGAGCTCTTGTTTGTGATTTTTTTCCTTTTTCGATTGATTATTTTGAAATCCGATTTTGACAATGATAACTTGTTTTTCTTGCAGATCTGGAGCCTCAGTTCCTTCTGCTGCTTCTTAGTTCATTTTTCTGGATAAGATTTTGGGCTATTTCATCGGAATAGTATTAACTTGTATTTTGATAACTTGATTTTTTTCCTTTTTCGATTGAAGATTTGAAAATCGTATTTTGATTATTTTGATCATCTCAGTAGCTACATTGTTCTTCTGGTTTCCAGTAATCTTAACCTAATTTCGTCGGAATTTTTTTTGTAGCGCCTTTTCGATTTACATGACCACAGATTTCGTTGAAGTTCTCACAGATTTTTCACGTTTTGGTTTTATGCAAATTGCTATTTCTCCTCTATTTTGCGGATTCAATAATCTTACAAACTTTTCTTCCCGCCTCTGTTTTGATTTTGATTTTTTATTTTGTCTGTTGTTATCGGAGATTTATTGAATGTCTGCATTTCTTAAGTGACAGATTTTTAGGAATTTTGTGACAGATTTTTCAGTGACAGATTTTTCAGTGACATATTCTTAAGGGACAGATTTTTAAGTAAAGCTTTAACAATCATGCTTTTTTTTGGGAAAAATGTCATTTAATCCTCCAACTTTCAAATTGTGGTCATTTGAGACATCAACTTCATATATGGCCATTTAAAACATGAACTAGACGTTGACTAACGTTTGAGACATGGAAATTCGTTGACCAGGCCAAATAGACATGCCGTTATCAGTCGCTAATGGAACGTCTAACGCCCGTTATCCCCCGTTAAAGACTCTGTTAGTCAACTTTTAAATTGTAGCCATTTTAAACATCAACTTCATATATGGCCATTTAAAACATGAACTAAACGTTGACTAACATTTGATACATGAGAATTCGTTGACCAGGCCAAAATATACATGCTTTCATCAGTCACTAAAAGAACCTATAACATCCGTTAACGACTCTGTTAGTATGCCCAAAACGACGTCGTTTTGAGGATAATCGAGAGAAAAACAGGATTTTTCCCAAATAAAAACCCCAAATCCTCAAATCTATTTCTACAATAGCCCAAGCAAGACAAACAATCCTATTATCTCTATCTCTTCCAACTGCAGCTAGAAAGTGACCTTTTATTTCCTATTTCGGAAAAACTTCATCGAGTCCTATGATGGGTCTACAAGTTTGGTTACATGATTTATTTTAAGATTAAAAACAGATATATAAACGAAAAACCTATGTTTGCTTCCAATTACTGGCTCTGCGATTCTCTCTATGTCAAACTATGTCTTTGGGTTCTGCTTTAAAACAAACTTTTTGATTGGAGATTTCATTTGGGAAAAATCATGATTTCTTCTCGAGTATCCTCAAAACGACGTCGTTTTGGACGTACTAACAGAGTTGTTAACGGATGTTATAGGTTCTTTTAGCGACTGATGATAGCATGTCTATTTTGGGCTGGTCAACGAATTCTCATGTCTCAAATGTTAGTCAACGTTTAGTTCATGTTTTAAATGGCCATATATGAAGTTGATGTTTAAAATGACCATAATTTGAAAGTTGACTAACAGAGTCGTTAACGAGGGATAACGGGCGTTAGACGTTCCGTTAACGACTGATAACGGCATGTCTATTTTGGCCTGGTCAACGAATTTTCATGTTTCAAACGTTAGTCAACGTCTAGTTCATGTTTTAAATGGCCACATATGAAGTTGATGTCTCAAATGGCCACAATTTGAAAGTTGGGGGATTAAATGACATTTTTCCCGTTTTTTTTTTGTTTCTGTGATTAGGAATGGCGTCTTCTAGTCAAATCCTCAAGTACCCTCCTCGACTGTATGAAGAAGGAAAATCTCTTTTGCAAAATAGGAGCATGAACCACAGCTGCTATTTTTTCTCAAATTGGGAAGATCAGAGGATTAGGTCCGGATGTGTGGGATGATTTGATGAAATCAACACTTGGAGTGTTTATAAAATTGACTGATGCTGAATACACATGGGCTGCCCAGACCGTTCATTACTTCCTCTCAAATCAGCTGCGAGTCGACAACGATCACGAGATTTGGTGTTTGATTGCAAAGGCCAATCAGATTTTCTCTTTATGAATTTGCGGACGTAACGGGGCTCAATTGTGATGTTATTGACGAGTCAGACACATGTGAAGCTGCTTACCATGAGGTCTGTAATGAAATGGGTGTTGGAACCCATATTTTTGGTATGCCATTCTAGTAATTAAACACAAATTATGGGTCACTTTAGTAAATTTCCCTTAAATATATTGTTAAGATATGGGGATGTGTCTGGTTAAGTCTATTTGACTCCGCCTTTTCCACTGGATTTCAACTCCATTAAGTCGCGTTATCCCGCGTAGTAGGTATTGGTTATAGATCGGGCTTTGTCGATCCAAAAATGTTAAAAAAAAAAAAAAAATGAAAACACCAACTCAACATTTTTCTTTCAAGTAAGGGTTTGCATTTTTATTTCGAAAAGGAATTATAAACAAAAGAGACCAACTCTTTGATACATTCTGATTTGTCCACTCAACAAATTTCACCAACGATCAAACGGGCGAAATAACTACAGAATGTTGGTTAAGGCAAAAGTCTTTATGCCTTCAGTTATTTCTGGAGGTGGCGACAGCGGAAGAGGCCGTCTCGTCATTCACATTGTTGCCTGAAAGCTCCTCAAGAGACTTGCCTTTAGATTCGGGCACTAAAAACGTCATGATCATACCAACAAAATTGATAACACCAAGCATGATCAACGAGTTCTTGACACCAATACCAGGTGGATAACCTGCGTCCGTCTTGGTTTTGTCCTTTGACTGAGCTGCGTATAAAAATCCAAACGCTCCCACGATAGCTCCTGCCTTTCCTGCCGCGGCTGATATTCCGTGACAAGTGGATCTCAGCCTGGTTGGGAAGATCTCGGCCGGAACCACGAAAGTAGTTGCATTGGACCGAAGTTTGCGAAGAAGAAAGTGAGGAAGTAAATAATGACGAATCCAATGCGGTTGTCTTGTTTGATCCAGTGATCGTAGGGGAAAGCTATAGCAAACATAAATACGTTCATGAAGAAGAATCCCATTAGCTGGACCGCGAATCTTCCCATGATATCAATAAACGCAACAGTGAACCAATAACCTGGGACAGTACTGCATTTAGGGGTGTCAAAATGGGTTAATACCCATGGGTTACCCGAACCCGCCCATGATTTTAATGGGTTTGGGTAGAATTTTTTTACCCATATATATAAATGGGTTTTAGTGGGTTATCCTATTAGGGTTATGGGTTTAATGGGTAAAACCCATTAGGGTCAAGGGTTACCCATGGGTTTCATAACCAAAACTAAAAAGTAAAATTTATATATATCTATATTAATATATTATGTAAATTTTATATAAATATATGTAAAATATCTTCTTTTCTTTACAACTATATATGTAAAATATCTAAAATAACTATTAAAGTTTACATTTTACCTAAAAATAAAAATAAAAAGTAAAATATATGTATAATATCTAGATTTTTTTAATTTATTATTTAAAAACTTTTGTTGGTTTACAATTTTATGTTATTTTTTTGGATTTTTATTATTTATATATTTTATTATACATATATATGGGTACCCATATAACCCATTAAACCAATGGATTTCTACAATAATGGGTTTGGGTATGTAAATTCAACCCATATAAATATATGGGTTGGGTCAAACCCGTCCATTAAACACTCGAACCCATATGGGTTTGGGTCGGGTCGGGTCGGGTTACCCATTTTGACACCCCTAACTGCATAGCTCGATGAGAGTTTGCGCCCGACCAATCTTGTAAACCTCATGTCTTCCTCTGTTTATATGGTATGTGAACTTTGTAATCAAATGTATTATTTCTTTTGCTCTCTAGTATTGAAAGATGGAAGAGATAAGAATATCAAATGTCTTCTACTCAAGAAACTTAAAAAAAATATATGGTCCAAAGGAAATTATATTTTAAAATCAAATTCTAATCGCCAACAGTTACAAACCAAATTTACAAACAATAGAGATATGAAAAACATACACACAAGTAAGAGCAAAAAACAACACAAAACAAAACAAAATTCAAAATTAAATCATCTTGCTTTCTCATCATATAATCGAATTACGTTGGCATGATTTCAAAATCTTCATCAGTTGTATTCTTTCGAATTCTGCGAACTCAGAATCGACTGCAAGTAAACATGTTTCGAACAAATGGTTAGAGATTGCGAGCTTGCCTTGTAACATGACATGACACAAACTGTGTCCCTATAAATAACTAGTGAGAAACAAAGCAGTTTAACTTTAAACTATACCACAGTGTTAGTTTTGACTAATGTTTGGTCTAATTTGGTGAAGTCAACACTAATCCAAAGTTTCATCGATCAATGTGAATAGTTTTTTTTTTTTAATTATTGAGGAGTAAAAACAAATTAAAAATTTAGAGCAAAATTTTTATGCATTTACTATATATTTCATTTGTTTTTGGTGCAAAAGTATCATCCACACATACCTTGACTTTAGGATAAGGGAAGCTAGTTTTAGCACCACCTCTGCTTCCGAAACTGAACTTTGATTTCTTGTCATTAGGTTTTAAGATCTGAAAAGAGCAGGTCAAATCATCGTCCACACTCATCATCGCACCTGCATTGTCAAATTCCCCACAGTAATTCGGTGCAGAGAATATCGTCACGAGCTGCTTATTCGCAAAGAACTCGAATCCGTCTTCAACAACCTGTTACGACATCATTGCTTGCGTCAAAAAAACATACACAAAAAGGGTTTCGTTGGGTGCAAGGAACAATAAACAAACCTGGTGAGCCCTACAAATTAGGTCAAGATCAAGTCTTTTGAGAAACCCAGAAACTGTATCCGATCCGAAAGTGTAAGAAACTCCGCGATCGTTAGGCCCCCAACCTCTAACATCTTTATCAGGATCAGACCACAATAGATCACAGAGTAAACCGCGATCAGGAACATCTGTTGGACGACGAATATCCCTAATCTGTCTCAAGCTAAGAAGCTCCGGTGAGAGCCCACCATGCATACAAAGAATCCGATCATCGATGAGTGCAGCCACGGGGAGACAATTGAAGCAATCGGTGAAGATTCGCCAAATCTTGACACTGAATCTGCGTTTACACTCATCATAGAAGCCGTAAATGCGATTTATTGAGGCACTTTCATGGTTTCCTCTGAGAAGGAAGAAGTTTTCAGGGAATTTGATCTTGTAAGCAAGTAAAAGACAAATCGTTTCGATGCTTTGCTTGCCGCGATCAACGTAATCTCCAAGGAACAAGTAGTTTGAACGAGGAGGGTAACCGCCGTATTCGAATAGTCTCAAGAGATCCGGATATTGTCCATGAATGTCCCCTGTTTTTTTTGTTTAACCAAAAGATTACATAAGAACACAATCTCAGAGAAGAGTCAGAGAGAAACAGAGAGAAGCCTACCACAGATTTTGACTGGAGCTTCGAGTTCCAAGAGATTTGGCTGTCTTAAGAAGATACCTCTAGAGACGAAACAGAGCTGTTTAATCTCTGTTTCAGACAATTGAACAATCTTTCCTGGTTTCTCCCTAGCTTCAAGCAACCTATTGATCACCGAGTTTAAAGTACCAGCATCCATTAATAAAACCTCAAGAAACAGAGCAACAATGAGACGAAACAACAACGAGAAGAGACCAACAAGATTTATATAATACAGAAGCTATTGACAATATGAAATAAATTAAAAAAGTTTGGTGCTTTTATGTTCTTTTATGCTTGCTCTTTGAGAAAAAGAATGGTAATTGTCAATTTGAAGAAGGGCTTTATAAAGCCGCGTTGAAGAATATATTCTCCATAACTTTTTAGCAAAAGCCCATGTGTTCATACCTACCTACATTGTTCTAACTTCAACTAAATCATGTAATAATCAGATTCTTGCTAATTCAGAAACACATTCTTTGTGTGTTTGTTAAGCTTCACAAGATTGAATTCAGCCCGGTACGTCAAGATTCAAATTCAAGATCTTTGCGCCGGTAATTAGAGTGCGAAAAACGCTCTTTCTTTTTCTTAGTATCGATGTTTTTGGATTCGTTAGCGTCATATCAAGCAACTTGGCTATCTACAAAAACATATTCTTCTTCCTTTTCAGCAAAATCCCATGTGTTAAAAAAACCTACCAAATTGGTCTACTTCCACCAGAATAACCAAAAATGTTAGCTAGTTATTTTTGTCTTTTTATGGTTCAAAAAATATTTTAGCTAGTTTAAACACTTTTTTTGTGTTGAGCATTTTAGGCTTGAATCTAATCATGTATATCGCGATTCGAATTCAAGATATTTCTGCGTGTAACTAGAGCACGAAACAACGTTCTTTCTCCATCACAGTATCAATGTTTTTGGATTCAGAGCAAGTCTCAAAACCTTGTTCGTTGATTTGTCCGCATAGTATCAAGCAACTTGGCTATGACAAGAACATATTCGTTATGAAACTACCGGATGTGAGAGGACACCACAGGAATAACAAGGAAAGAGAATATTAGTTTGGCTTTTGCCCTTTTCTTCTATAAAGGAAAGATTCCAAAGTTAGGAGGAAACGAAGAGTGATGCCTCCTCTTATGACTTCTAAATCATTTTCATTTTCTTAGCTGTATCTAATTAGACTTAGGTATAAAAAAACATAAACAAGGTTCGTTCATGTCCTCACAAAATTCCATACATCAAAAAGAAAAAAAGCTGCTTAAGGTATAAGCTTGTGTATGTGTATCTCAGTCATAAATAGCTAGCTTCTTATACTCATCACCTTTAATGGCTAACCACATGATATCTTCAGGATTCACAATCCCACCTTCCTCAAGAAACAGAGTCAATAGATTCTTCGAAAACCCGCTAACCATAGCTACTCCTTTCTGCTTAGACGCCACGGGTGTAGCTGACGAGTCTCTTAAGTTCCAAAATACAATTTCAGGAACATTCTGAAAACCCTTCTCTTTATACTTTCTCTGAACAACTTTATAGTCCGTCTCCCATTTCTCAAAACTCTCGGAGACACTCTCATAGTCACTCTCGGAGTTACTCTCGTAGTCACTCACTTCCGAATGGCTGTCTACTCTTGCATCATCAAACTCCATGTCGCTGAACACAAACAACCGCTTGATCATCTGGTTATCGGTTAAGTTATTTTCAACTGCAACCTCTAGAATCCGATCAAATACCTTCTGAAAATCAGTGTTCATTCCCCAATCCATTTCCCTTACAAACTGAGTCTTTTCTCTCAGACTCGAACCCGTGACTACATGAAGCTGCGGGTTTTCGCTAAAGGTGATAACTTTCCCTTTCCACGGCTCTTCGTTAAGTTCTGAAACCAATAACCCGAGCGCTACACAAACATTCATAGGTGTACCAGCCATGCTTCCCGAGACATCACAAATCGCCAATGAATTCTTCAACTTCCCTTTCTTGGCAAGATCATCCACCATTCTTGCCCATTGAAGCTCTGCTACTTCTGCACCAACTTCATTTTCACTATCATTCTCAAGCTGGCTGATTATCTGATGAGGAAGCAACGCACCAGCCGCGATCTTCTTCTTCCCGGATTTCACATCCCCCAAAAACTCGGTAAACCTCTCGCTATCGTGTTCCACAAAGCGCGTCCTGTAATTCTGCATAGCCACAGAAGGAACTCTATTGTACTTCAACAAATTCCATTCCTTGGCACTCATAGACACCTCTGGTAATTCAAGCGCTTTATGTAACGGCACGAGAACTTCTTTCCTTAACCTATCTCTAATCCTATACGCATAATGCGCTTCTTCGATACCTTCATACTCCTCTCTAGGGAACATCCTTCTAGCAATTGCCTCACATATCAAAGTAGTCTTATCATACGAAGAATCAACAGAAGGACACCATTTCGAAGCTAAACCAATCTTATTCAACTCATTCGAATTCAAATACTTCAAATCCGATTTCAACAAATCCGCAAACAAATCCGCAATTCTATCAAACAGTAATCTGTAATTAGCATCAGAGTTATACCTCTCTAGCGCCTTTTTCGCCTTTTCGAACTCTCTCTGTTTCCGCAAAGCCCTAGCCTTGATTTTATCAACAGGGCCACCAATCTCCTCTGCGGTTTCGAGAAGCCGATCTTCCATTTCACCAGATATAGTAGTCCTTTTCTCACTATCCCCTTTGAATTTCCTCTGAATCCTCTTCCTCCAAACCCGATTCTTTCCTCTCTCCATCTGCTGACCTTCCAAGATCCGAAACAGAATCTCAGGCAAATCTTTGAAATACCCAAAATCAACAAGAGCAGGGAGATTCAAAGCTAGGGTTTTTGGGTGATTCTTGTAAAGCCACAAGGCAGCTGTGTAAAACCCTTCCTTGTCTGATTTCCCAGTTCCTCTAACACCTCTGAGATTGCAGAGGAGCTTCAACGTAGTCAAAGGATCGTGAGACCAAGAAATCGCCAGCCTTAGGATCAGATCATCGGAAGGTGTGTCGGGTACGATATGGAAGAAGAAATCGAGACATGGGTTCCCGGAGGAGAGAAACGTGGGCGAGAAGTTTTCCGTCAGACCCATCTGTGGTTCTTCGAGGTTTAGTGTGGCAGTTTTGGAGATCAAACTGTTGTCATCGGAAACAGGGGTTTCCGGCGAATTGATAGTAACTGGTGTCTCGATGGCGGCGACCGAAGGTGGCCCCAGAAGGATCGTAGTGGAAGAAGCCATTGAAGATAGAGATTTGGTGAAGGTGATGGTCTCAAGGGTTTTTTCTTTTAAGCTAGGGTTTGTATCAAAGTAGCGGATAGCTTTGTCTATCAATTGGTAAAGTATTTATATAGGTAGACGAGAAACCCTAAGACATCAACTTTATAAAAAGAAAATATAATAATACAAAAAGATTAAGAATTGTTAGCTTGGAGACCAAGTAACCTAGATCTTAGGACATTTATATAATGAATATATAATCTAATAATAATAAAAATCTCAATAAATATATTTTTGCAGTTATTTACAGTGTTGTCTTTTTATTACAACATTTCATTAATTTCTTTTTTTTTAAACTAAAAGTTATATTCTAATGTTGTTTTTTTGTTAGAAAATTGCAATCCGAATAAATGTGTTGCATAAATGAATTTTAAGTTCCTTAAATTTTGTCAACTCTCTAGACTCTAGGCTTCCATAATTCAAACTAAAACTCAAAGGGAAACATGAATCTCATAGAAATTTACGAACAAGAGGTAGAGATTATAACGTATTCTAAGAATTTAAAAATTTAGCTTCCGTGATTCAAAAATAACTCTAACCTAAACACCTATACCAGACATGATTTGTCTGTGTGCTGATATGAAGTGTGTATCTGACAAAAATTATGGCTGCTCTTAAAGTTCGCACAAATCTAGAACTGTAAATATGGTCTAATTGGTAATAAAAAGATGAAAGTGCAAGTAAGCAAACCGCTAGAATGGTAAGTGTATGCATAAGTTTTTAAAATCTTATTTGCTTGTTGCATGGAAAACATAAATCATATCATATATATGAAAGTTGGTCAACTCTCTCCATATGAGTGTCACATCATTACACAAGAAAATGACATGTATCATTCTACATTATTTATAAAAAAAAAATTATCAAAACTAAATGAAAAAAATAAAAATTCTTTGTTGCATTAAATCCTACATCAATCCTACTTTTAGTTGATTTATTCAAAATAAAATGAAAACTACAAAATTATGTTGATAAATCAAGCACGACTTTATTTTACTCTTTTTATTTTACTAAATTTTTTTTTATCAATGATCACTAATGATTAAAAAGTTATTTGTGTTGTAGTTTAGTTGTTTGCTACCTAACCTCTTATTAGTTTAGTAATTTTACTTTGAGTCTTTTCTCGTTATTACGTTTTATGGTTCATATACGACTTATCATATGGCCTTCTCTCTTTTTACTAAAAAGTTTTTAGTTTGTGTTTTATGGTAAGTTGATAACATTGACATGCATGTTTTTTTAAATAATGAGTCTTTGAGACGTTAGACATACCAAAGAATTCAAGAGACGACCATTTTTTTTATATGGCTATATGCAATAACAGAAGATTTAAAAGTGTTGACTTAAATGACTCTTTAAGTTTTGTTTTCTTTTATTTTCTTATGAAAATTCTTGAGATCTTGTTCAAATTATGTCAATCCAATATTTAATAGCCTATCATAATGTGGCCGGAGTACTAGATCAGGAGAGTACATACTGTACATTTAGCAAGAATTTTTTTTTATTTATAATCAAGTTAGACAAGTAACATAATTATATATCATTGTATCAAAAATTTCTATATTATTGTTGTATGTATTTAGTGAAAGAAAATATATTAAAATCATAGATATATAAATAAGCATATTTATACATGAAAATGTATAAATTGATATTTCAAGTCAAAAATATATTTAACCATAAAAATTGTTAAATTAGCAACAAGAATATTCAACATATTTTTTTCTAAACAGTTTTCAAAACAAACTCACGCGTAGCGTGGGTATTCATCTAGTAAATATGAAAATTGCCTAACTCTCTCTATATGAGTGACACATCATCACTTTAGCATTTGTCATGTGTCCACTAAATAATAAATGTAAGGTTTAAATTTTTATTTTATAGGTTAATATTACATTTATTATTTAATTGTACATGTTATATAATTTTACATATTTATATGTATTAATACTAACTTTATTTTATTAGTATGTATCATTTTTTTAATGAAATTATTTTATTATTTTTCTCGTACTTGGGGTTTTTTTGCTAATTATTTTTAATTTTAACTCAAAATATGAGTAAATAGTAGTATAGTGGATTATCTAATGATTTGTATAAGTTATTCTCTTAAATTTTTATGTATATAATATATCACAGAAGGTGAAAAGTACGTAAAGAGCTCCATCATAAAATTCGTGAAGTTTCTATAATCCCAACATTATTATCTATAAAATTGGTTTAGGACGAAGATTGTTTAAAGATTGTTTGAGTGATGCAACTTCACGACTAACAAACGAAGCAGCTAGTGGGCGCAGTTTTAAGAGTTTTCTCCACTGCCATGATCTCAATGTAGTGCTTTTGACATCCCAAAAAGTGCCTGGACGGATTAGATAGTGATTAACCCAAGCAACCCACAAAGAATTCGAACCTGACAGAATTTTCCAAATGAGACTAAGGCTGAAAACCCGAGAGACCTCATGCAACCGTCTAATACCCAGCCCACCCTCGTTTTTAGGCACACAAATATCTTCCCACGCGACTTTGGCTTTGGTATGATCATTTGGGGAGCCACTCCAGAGATATGTCGAACACATGCTTTCGATTTCTCGATAACACCGTTTCCGTAAACAAAAAACCGAGCTCCAAAAATTTGTAATGCTTACAATGACTGATTTAATAAGTTGGACCCGTCCCGCATAAGAGAGGTTGCGACAGGTCCAGCTTGCCAATTTATTCCTGATCTTTTCTATTAGCGGCTCATAGTCGGTTCTTGACAAAGCTTTGGTAGTGAAAGACAGCCCCAAGTAACGTATTGGCAATTCACAGATCGCAAGACCAACTCTTTCAGCTTCTCGTTGGAGTTGTAACATCCCTCATCCCGCTGTAAATAAGGAAGACTTCATCACATTTATATTCAATCCTGACTTACAGGCAAAGTCATCAAAAACAACAAGAATTCCCCAGAGTGACTGAGGAGAACCGTCCGTGAAGACCATAATGTCATCAGCGAATCTAAGATGCGACAAGTTGACTGCTTGGCATTTTAGGGTGGACACCAATAAGGCGATCCGAGACTGCCTTAGCCAACAGACCAGAGAGGACATTACTCACAATCACGTATAGATACGGAGATAATGAGCAGCCTTGGTGCAGCCCCCGGGAGCTAGAAAAAAACCCTCTAACTCCCCATTTATTGAAACAGAGAAGGAGGAAGTGGATATACATTGGGATATCCAATAGATGAACTGATCCGGAAAATGCATGGCTCGTAGTGTAGCAATGATAAAAGGCCATTGAAATGTGTCAAACGCTTTCGAGATGTCCAACGTGATAGCAGAGCGAGAAGAGACTAAAGACTTGTGATAGTCTTTGACAAGTTCCGTGGCTAAGAGAACATTTTATAGAAGAAGATGTCCCTTAACAAATGCACTTTGGCTAAAATCTATAGCATCAGGGAGAAACTGTTGGAGACGTCGGGCAAGGATCTTGGATATCACTTTATACAACAAATTACAGCAAGCTATCGGACGATAATCCTTCATGGTCTCTGGAGAAAAATTTGAGGCATAAACAAAAGAACAGATGAAATACTCTCCCGAGGATTTAAAACGAATACAGAAAGTTACCTACTGTGCACTCATATGAATTAAGTGTACTTCAACTTCTTCAGACCAACAAACCCAAATTCTTCCCAAACGATTATGCATATAGTTTGTAAGCCACTGCTACCCTGGAAGAGTAGATTCCATGATAGCCTTACAATTTTCTTCTTGAACCCGTGTTTCTAACAAGTAGGCCACTGTAAACTGATGTGTTCTAACCGATTCACAGACAACATTGTGTTTGCGTGGCTTATTGAACCCACGCATGTTCCACGCAAAGATCGACGTTATTAGAACTTCCGAGAGGAAGCTTTCTTCGATGAGATTAGGGGATGCGTTTGAATCATGTCTTTAACATTGAGAATTGGCCTCCGCAAATGTTTTGGTTGTCCCATTGCCTTACTTGCATTCTTGGATTTGCGTCTTGCAGCCTGGACCTAATCTTCCACACCCACATCCGAGGTACCCTCTAAAACCGTCTTGTTTCCACAATCTCACCTTCTTCTGGAATGTCAGCAAGAACACTGAAACCTGTTGGAGATTATTTATGTTTCCCTGCATCACTACTCATGCCAAGCGAATAATCTGGTAATTTCCGAGGACAGACTGATTTACCCCGCCGAGCGACCACAGACCAACCTTCTTCTGAGTCCCGCTCTTTACCAGCAACCTCAACTACCCCTATACTCTGCATTTCTACGATTTCACCTTGTTGAACCACTAAGTCTTGAATTTTCAGAGTTTCACTCTGTGACACAACCACTGGCAAAGCTTTAAGTGAATCAAGATCAGTCATCAAACTTTTTACCACTTCCAACGATTCCCCTGCAGATCCAGGACTACCTGCAGGGTGAGCGATGTTATCATTCACCAAGAGAGTTTTCTGTTTCTCGATCGAGTCATTTACAGCCTTTGACTTCGTACAATCTCTGATTTTTTGTCTCTAACCAAGACAACCATTGCATCGAGAAGGAAGCCAAGGATAGTTGATTGTCCCAGTAAAGCACTGCCCGATTCACCCTCAACACATATCTCCTCCGTTAAAGGTTTCTCGAGATCAACCTCAACTAAGACTCTCGCCACATCTAATCTGATGCAATGCTCTGTATTGGGGTGCATCTTAACAAAGTTGCCTGTTATGTCAGCCAAAAACCGTAGACCAATGTGCGAAAAGAGATGGCCAGGAACTCCCTTAAGATCCACCCATAACGGCATCACAGAGAGATTAGGCCTCTCTTGGATCATCTCCAGACTCCATTCATTCACCACTAAAGGGATATCCGCTATATGCCAATAGCGTCTTTTCAACATCCTAGATCGAGTTTGCGCATTATCAATACGAAACCAAACCGTATTAGCATTCAAAATTTGAACATCAATCCTTGATGTTCGAGCAACAGAGTTCCAAATCCGGTTTACAGTGGCGTATTCGTCCACACATGGGGCGCGTCACCCATAAAAAACCAGCCATGGAATTTCTCCATAGGGGAGCACTCTCATCAACAATACCAAACGGGACAGACACTCGAGCAACCCCGTTCACGTGTTCAAAAACTGATGCAATGCTTTGTATTGGGGTGCAACTTAACAAAGTTGCCTGTTATGTCAGCCAAAAACCGTAGACCAATGTGCGAAAAGAGATGGCCAGGAACTCCCTTAAGATCCACCCATAACGGCATCATAGAGAGATTAGGCCTCTCTTGGATCATCTCTGGACTCCATTCATTCACCACTAAAGGGATATCCGTTATATGCCAATAGCGTCTTTTCAACACCCTAGATCGAGTTTGCGCATTATGAATACGAAACAAGACCGTATTAGCATTCAAAAATTGAACACCAATCCTTGATGTTCGACCAACAGAGTTCCAAATCCGGTTTACAGTGGCGTAATCGTCCCCACATGGGGCGTGTCACCCATAAAAAAACCAACCACGAAATTTCTCCATAGGGGAACACTCTCATCAACAATACCAGACGGGACAGACACTCGAGCAACACCGTTCACGAGTTCAAAAACTGGTTTAGGCTATGAAGATGAGACTTCAGCAAGGGGAGAAGACTAGGCAGACTTAGGGGCTTGAGATACTGGGATTGGATCCGATAATGGTACATCAGCAGACGGACAAGGATCAGATACCGGTGGGGGGGACCCCATGGTTTCCGACGGAGGAAGAGTGGGAGGGAAGCAAAAAAGAAAATTTTGGAATCGCCTTTGAGGAGCAGCGGCTAGTTTGCTGGATTTATGAAATAGAGCATTAGTTTGCTGGATTTATGAAATAAAAAATGTTTTTTTTGATTTTAAACTTAAGCTTAATTATCAGATAATTAATAAAGATTTGTTATTTGTTATGCATATACAGAAAAAAAAATGTAAGGTTGTGGTATATGAAGTTTAGAAAAAAATATAAGATTTGTTATGTTTATATACTAAAATTATAAGGTATCCTATGTTACATTTAATTGTCTTTGCTAACATCCCCTTGTTAGATTGTGTGTTTTTAAAAATTTTGATTAGAAATTCGGTTTTGATTAGTGTGGTATCTATACTAGTATTTTTCAGTCATTTTGGTGACGGGTGGGTAAAAATGCTCCCGCGTTATTTGGATACCCGACCCGTTTCCAAATTTTGGTCATAAAAAGTTTGTTGGGTCGGCTTATATTTTAATATTTAACCCAACTCATACACCGGATATTTCATATTTAGTAATTTAGATATTTAGAAGATTTGATTAAAATTTAGAATTATGATTCTCCTATCATCTTTGTTTGATTTGTTTTTAACTGTTTTGAATCATCATATAATACATAAAGTAAAAAAAAATCAATTTTTTTTTCTGCATATACTGTGATTCGAAATTTTAAAAACGGACATATATTATCCAATTGACGAAAATGTGTGTTCAACGTTCTACATCGATTAAAATATTTAGAAAATGATTCAGAATCATATCATAAATAAGATCAACATTAATAAAATACATGAGTTTTTTGGCCGGACGGGTTGGCGGGACGGGTTTTTGAATCAACAATAATAAAAAGATTAAAAATTATCATTAATCCGCTGCTTCAATACGGATTAAATCCTTAATTTTTTTTTTAATACCACCAATATTAGACATATCAAATGAGTCTCATTTAGAAAAGATTGTATAAAATCAAAAATTGCGTAACAGGATTGTCTCCTTGGACTACACTCAACGCCCTCGTCTCCGGAATCTCCTTCAAACATGGTTTGAAGTTTCACCAATTCCATAGCATCCTCGTCTCTGTTTTTTGCTCTGTTTGCTGTTGTAATAGGCATATTTGCTCTGTTTTGCATTCAGCTCTAATTTCCCATTGTACATAACTATTTATTTTTCGATCAATCAATTACACATTTAATCAAAAAAAAATCAAAAATTGTCCCGTGGTATAAAGTTACTTAATAACAATTGTAAACTATAAAATATAAATGTCTTTGAAAATGATACAATTTACAAACTTTTATCTATAATAAATAATCGTTAAAATTTTTAAAATTACTACTTTTAGAAAATAAATTACGGGACGGGTTAAGAAATTACAAGACGGGTTATATGGTAGACGAGTTTGAATCAACATTTATAAAATTTTAAAATATCATTAACATGTCGCTTTAATACAGATTCAATCCTTAATTTATTAAAATATAAATGTCTTAGAGAATGATACAATTTATTAACTTTATATAATAAAAAATTATTAAATTTTAAAATCACTACGTTTAGAAAACAAATCACGGGTCGGGTTAAGAAATTATTGGACAGGTTATATTTCGGAACGGATTTATATGTCGAACGGGTTTGAATCAATATTTATAAAATTTTAAAATATCATTAACATGCCGCTTTAATAGGAGTTAAATCCTCAGTTTATTATTGTTCCGTGAACTCGAGATATACCGTTACTTGATGATAATTATAAATTATAAAACATAAATATTTTATAAGGAGATACAATTTATAAAATTTTATATATACTAACTTTAAAAAATAAATCATCCCGCGGTGTACCGCGGGTTAAAATATGAGTCAAATCATTGTGAAAGCGACACATCAACGTGGCAATTTTGTTAATAACACATCATAGTAAGGTTTATTTTTTTAGAGTGTTTCTCTATTAATATATAAGGGATTATAAATTTTAGAACCCATTACACAAATCATGTGTCTAATATATTTAGAAAATAATTAATATAGTTATTCCGGAGACCACTGAAAAACTCTTCCTTACGTGCACAATTGAATAACAACCGATGACTATATTTTAGAAACATCTTTTTTTTTTTGAGCTATACCCCTAAACATATCTAAGTATATATAAAGTTGAATCATTCCCTTAGAACTATCCTAAGCATACAAATTGTTGTAGCTAGATTAGTCTAATTACAAAAGTATGTACATGTGTATTATCATTAATTAGAACTTGAACTGTAAGAGCATGATTATCCAAGGGCTCTTAATAATACTTCTTAAGAATATTTAAGTATAATTTTTTTTGTTCCACCTCTTAGCATTTTTTTTTTGTTCCTTAGCTAAGAAACACTTCTTAGCTTAGAGCATGATTATTGGTAGTATCTTAGAAATACCTCTTAGCAATATTTAAGTAATATATGTGTAAAAGTGATTGGTAAGAGATAGTATTTTTGAGTTAAGATTTTTGAGTGATTAATGGTAGGTTCTTAACATGTGGTTCTTAGAAGAAAAAAAATTAACATAAAAATAAAATTTATAATTATAGAAAATTTAATAATGGTTGCAAATTAAAAAAATTAAACATACATGAGATACAATTTATAACATAAATAACAGAAAACATAAATATTTTAAACTTAATTTATGGAATATTTTGTCCATATATGCTCTTAGCTAAGGAACGTTCCTTAGCTAAGGAACGTTTCTTAACGTTAAAGCACAAAGTTGATTAAATTATATTGCATTAAATGTTAAGAAAAGCTTAAGATTTTTATAAGAGCTTGCCTTTAATCATGCTCTTAAAGACACTTTTGGGAATAAATATAATCAATTAAATGCTAACATAATCTTAAGATTTTCTTAAGAGACTACCTATAATCATGCCCTTCCTCAACATGGTAAAGAGTTAAAAACAGGTTTGAAAAATGGGGTTTGCTAAAAATAGCTGAGGTTGAGAATTGAGACATAAAAGAGATTTTGTCATCTTACGTGAACATGTGACTTGCTTCTTTTATGTTTATATACTAATTATGGTAATCTTTATTTCTTCGTAGCATGTTATCAACAAAAAAAAACAAATGTACAATAAACTAAATAAATATAGCGTATAAAATTTTAAAATATAATTAACGGTACAAATGTTAACATATAATAATCGTATCATCTCATTAGCTAAAAATTCATAAACGTAACCATTGACGGAGAATGAATTCTAATATATATTGTAAGCATGTTTTTATTTGTTTTGAGCTGATTTTGTCTCATTTTCTAAGTTTTTTTTCCTCTCATTTATTACTCTTTGTTTTTCTTTCTTTATAGTTGTTATTATGAAAAAAAAAACCAAAAATAATTACTGATATTTTCTAAAGTTAGTTTCCATAATACTTTCTACGTGCCTTAATTAATAGTTTTTTTTTAATTGTTACCGATCTAGTGTTCAAATCATTTTACTAGTATTTCTATAATAGGAGTCAAATCTTACCGTGTGGGATGTTGATGGCCACGATATGGTTAAGTGTAAGAACTAGACATTATATTCAAAATCAAACGGATTCTAATATCTAAAGTTGTGTGGGACTGTGTAAAAGTTTTAAAAAACAATTGACTCCAAAAACAATCTCATATTGAAAACGAATGAGTGAACTCATTCCTTGTAGTTAACATTTTTAATATATTTATATTTTTTTTGTCTTTGTGGTATGGTAGGAGGATCGACGACAACGATTTTACTAGACGGATTCAAGATTTTATTAAAAACTAAACACAAATGGTTAAATTGTAAGTCTACTTAATTCACTCATTTATCTCTCAAAAATTAAAAATACATCATAAATCATTTAACGTATTAGATGAATGTGGCATTAAATATTAATCTGGCTTAAAAAAAAAAAAAAAAAAAATATTAATCTGGCTTTGAGCTTGCTGTATTGGAAAATATGGTGAACTGCTGAAAATGATGGAAATATCTTAAACCAAATTGATAAAATATAGCATTACGTTAATTAATGATAACCTTAACATTGAAACAAATAAGAAAAAAAAAAAAAAAAAAAAAAAAAAAAAAGAAAAATAAGCAAAAAATTAGCAGAATATAAGCAAAAGAAAATAGATATTTATCAATCACACTCGGAAAATATAACTAGACTTCAAAAACTCTAATTTATATCCATGTCTCTAAGCTATAACTTAGCTGAATTATACCACAGACCATGCTTGAATATGATTGATAGTTTCCTTACAAAATTCTCAAGCTTGCGAATTAATATATAAGGATCCATGAATGAAGATTATTTCGCTTATTTTTATATTAAAAACACTAACATTTGTTTTAGAAAACTCAAGGTTAAAGTTAAACATGCATGTGAGGTAATAAAATTTTAGTTCTAACAAATAATTATCTTCTACTATAATTAAGTAAAAAAGAGAATTAAAAATTATCAGTAAATATTAACGACCAGAAAAACAAAATGTGTGCGTGGAAAGGAGAAACATATGATGTGAATGGAAAATTTTCATTCATTGGCCCGTTTTCGAAATTTTTTGACAAAATGGATTTTGAAGCCTTGTCTTCTTAATGAATGGAAGTTTATGATTCGTGAAGTGAGTGATATGAAGGATGCAAACGCAAAGAGGGTCATTAAATAAGAATATGGAATGGAGTAAGTAAGTAAAGAGCTATGGCCGATAAATTTAATAGCTCGTGACGGTGGTTGGTACTTCTTGAAGAACGCTTACCAAACTTAGAGATAAATTAAGCTTGAAAAAAGAATCTAATTAAGCGCATATAAACTTGCTTTAGTTTTTATATAATTTCCTTTCTCTCTATAAAATATAAACATTGCGAACAATGCTATCTACATTACTTTAAGATCTCTCTTCCAACTTTATTTGAATCATTGCATCTGGCATGATGCATTGAATTTGTTTGTGGTTAGAGAAGTGTTTGGAGACGGCAAGAGAAGTAGGAGGAATTGAGGAGAAGAGGTTGAGATACGGTGAAGGATTGATAAAGATGGCGAGAACTATGGAAGTTGTAGACAATAAGTTTGATTTTGTTTCTGATGAAGATAATGTTTAACAACACTAATCTTGCAAGAAAAGTATGAGGAGATGAATTTGTCTGATTTCAAAGTTTTTTTTTCTTACAAGTTACAAACAAGCGTAATTTTTTCTGATTAACAAAAAGTATTATCTACATGAACTACATGAACTAGTCACTACTAATTAAGTACTAACAAATATAGTTATATCGAAAATGACCAAAATAAATATAATTTGTAATTATATAAAGTATAAAAACACCAAATATTTATATTATTATGATAAAATATGACAATTTAAATATAATTAATGATAAAAACCATATATAAAATTCTACATAATTATTTAAAAACAAATAAATTTCATAGTTAAATGCTTATTACTTCATGCATTAGGTTCATAAAAAAACAGCCTCGAGTAATATGAAAATTTACAAAAAATAATATGAAAAACAAACAAAATATATGTTTTGAATTCTTAGATCTTCCGGATTAATAATATTATTAAAATATTTACGTTCGTATCTTGCAATTTTCGGTTTGGATTGATTCCATGATTTTGATAGAGAAAAAATTTTAGAGTTTTGAAAATTAATGTTAGTTTATATTGGGTTTGATAATATATTTTTAATTTATTTGTTGTTTATGTATATTTTTTTAATATGTATATACGGTTTGATATAAAGAAAAAAAGTTGTCAATCGCTACTGCCCATAACCGCAAACGCTTGCGGGAAAGAGCTTTCGAAAAGTATCGATTTCGAACGGTGTAGAGCGGTCCGGAGCAGTTTAAAGCATTCTTTATGATTGGTTTTAAACGCTAGCAACTGCAACTGCCTTCAAACACAACGTTTGCGGGAGAACCAATCGAGCCCTGAGAATGAAGAAGTTTTCAGGGAATTTGATCTTGTAAGCGAGTAGGAGACAAATCACTTCGATGCTTAACACAAACTCAGAAAAGAGATATAAAAAAACAGAGAGAAGCCTATCGCAGATTTTGACAGGAGCTCCAAGAGATTTTGCTGTCTCATGAAGACATCTCTAGAGACGAAACTGAGCTCTTTCATCTCTGTTTCAGTCAACTGAACAATCTTTCCATGTTTCTTTCTAGCTTCAAGCATCCTATTATTGATCACCAAGTTTAAAGACTTCTAGAAACAGAGAAACAATGACACGAAACAACGTTCTTTCTCCTTCACAGTTAGTCAGTAACTAGGTTTTTGGATTCAGGGTAATTCTTAAAAACTTGTTTTGTTGATTTCTTCGTATCATATCAAGCAATTTCGCTGTATCTAGTTATACATATGTATTTAGAACAAAAGTTAAACAAGATTCATTCCACACATAATTCCACAAACCAAAAACAAAACAATAAAAATTATCAAACTTCTTAGTTTTTTTTTCTTAGATATAAACTCAAAGAAATTGATAGAAACGATGGTGTTACTGTTTAAGCATCAAACCTTGTGTGTGTGTATCTCAGTCATAAACAACAAGCTTCTTATACTCCTCACCTTTGATGGCTAACCACATGACATCTTCAGGATGCACAATCCCACCTTCCTCAAGAAACAGAGTCAGTAGATTCTTCGAAAACCCGCTAACCATAGCTACTCCTTTATGGTTAGCCACCACGGGTGTAGCCGATGAGTCTCTTAAGTTCCAAAATACCATTTCTGGAACATTCTGAAAACCCTTCTCATTATACTTCCTCTGAACCACCTCATAATCTGTCTCCCATTTCTCCTTGGACCGTTGCTTCGCTATCTTCAACCGGTCCTCCACACTCAGTCGGTAACTCACCTCTGAATGGCTGTTTGTCATTGCATCATCGAACTCCATATCGCTGAACACAAACAACCGCTTGATCATCTGATCATCGGTTAAGTTGTTCTCGACTGCAACTTCTAGAATCCGATCAAACACTTTCTGGAAATCCGTGTTCATTCCCCAATCCATTTCCCTGACAAACTCAGTCTTTTCTCTCAGACTCGAACCCGTGACAATGTGCAACTGCGGGTTCTCGCTAAAGGTGATAACTTTCCCTTTCCACGGCTCTTCATTCAGTTCCGAAACCAATAACCCGAGCGCCACACAAACCTCCATAGGTGTACCAGACATACTTCCAGAGACATCACAAACTGCCAATGAATTCTTCAGCTTCCCTTTCTTGGCAAGATCATCCACCATTCTCGCCCATTGAAGCTCCGCAACTTCCGCGCCAACTTCACTCCCACTCTCATCCTCCAGCTGCTTGATTATCTGATGAGGAAGCAACGCACCAGCCGCTATCTTCTTCTTGCCAGACTTCACATCCTCCAAAAACTGTGAAAACCTCTCGCTATCATGTTCCTCAAACAGCTTCTTGTAGTTCTTCATAGCAACAGAAGGAACTCTATTATACTTCAACAAATTCCATTCCTTTGCACTCATGAACAACTCCGGAAACTCAAGCGCTTTATGTAACGGCACAAGAACTTCTTTCCTCAACCTATCTCTAATCCTATACGCATAATGCGCTTCTTCGATACCTTCATACTCATCTCTAGGGAACATCTTTCTAGCAATCGCCTCACATATCAAAGTAGTCTTATCATACGAAGAATCAACAGAAGGACACCATTTTGAAGCTAAACCAATCTTATTCAACTCATTCGAATTCAAACACTTCAAATCCGATTTCAACATAACCGCAAACAAATCCGCAATCCGATCAAACAGTAATCTATAATTAGCATCAGAGTTATACCTCTCTACCGCCTTTTTCGCCTTTTCGAACTCTCTCTGTTTCCGTAAAGCCCTAGCCTTTACCTTATCAACAGAACCACCAATCTCCTCCACATTTTCCAGAATCCGATCTTCCATTTCACCGGAAATCTCTTCACTTTTCTCACTCTTCCCTTTGAATTTCCTCTGAACCCTCTTCCTCCAAACCCGACTCTTCCCTCTCTCCATCTGTTGACCTTCCAAGATCCGAAACAGAATCTCAGGCAAATCTTTGAAATACCCAAAATCAACAAGAGCAGGGACATTCAAAGCTAGGGTTTTTGGGTGATTCTTGAAAAGCCAAAACGCAGCTGTGTAAAACCCTTCTTTGTCTGATTTCCCAGTTCCTCTAACTCCTCTGAGATTGCATACAAGTTTCAACGTAGTCAAAGGATCGTGAGACCAAGAAATAGCTAACCTTTTGATCAGATCATCGGGAGATGTATCGGGGACGATGTGGAAGAAGAAATCAAGACATGGGTTCCCGGAGGAAAGAAACGTCGGCGAGAAATTCTCCGTTAGACCCATTGGTGGTGGTTCTTCAAGGTTTAGTGTAGCGGTTTGGGAGATTAAACTGTTTTCATCGGAAACAGGGGTTTCCGGTGAATGGATGGTGACTGGTTTGATGATCGTTGAATCGCCGGAGATGGAAGGTGGGCCAAGAAGGGTCGTCGTGGAAGAAGCCATTGAAACAGAGGAAATGCGATGGTGATGGTCTCAAAGGTTTTGACTTTTGAAGCTTATAGAGAGTGATTTGCTTCGGAACATGTAGGAGACGTGGCATATTTCTAATTAACGTGGCCATGTGTCATTGTGTCTTTTGCCTTATTAAATTAATGAATTAATTAAAAAAGGTTCTCTTTATGAAATTTAAGTTATAATATACTCATTTGGTTTATTTATAGGGGGATTAGCAAAAATACCCCTTTTCTCATGCCCCTTTTCAAAAATGCCCTTTTTAGATGTCCATTTTCAAAAATGCCCATTTTTAAATCTGAAATTTTTATAAAGTTTTATTAGGTTTATAAGGTACGTATGGATTGTAACTACTACTTGAAGACTCGATCCAAGTATTTATAAGGTTTTATAAGGTGTTTTTTAAGGTTTTACAAGTTATTTTAAAGGATTTTTAAGGTTTTTCAAAGGTTTTTCAAAGGTTTTACAAGATATTTTAAAGGTTTTTAAAGGTATTTAAAATGCATTTATAAGGTATTTATAAAGTATTTATAAGATTTTAGATACATAGAAATGTAGTTTGTGTATGTTTTAATAATATTACATACATATTTGGGTAAATCTTATATTTTTAAGAGCATTTTTTATAAGGTTTTTAAAAAGGGGTATTTTTGAAAAGTGGCATTGAAAAAGTGGCATTATTAACAATTTCCCTTATTTATAAATGTGTTTAAGCTTTTTTACACAGATTTCATTGAAGTTATTATTTGTATATTAGATATTGTTTTTACCTACTAAAAATAATTTGACACCAACAAAATAAATAAATAGAAGAATATAAAGAATTAAAAATAAATAAATATCTAATTAATGTGGCATATTTCTAATTAATCTAGCCATGTGTTTTTTGTCTTATTAAATTAACTTGGTCGAAATTCGCGCTACGCTACGAAATACTTTTAAAAATATTTTTTATATAATATAAATATAATTTGTAATAATTAAAGGGGAAAATGTCGAAAAATGCGCGAACTTTCAAATTTGGACGATTAAAGCATGAACTCTCGAAATGTCTCTTTAATCACAAAGTTTACGTTGACCTGTCTGAAAATAGCTAAGTTTTCGTTGACCTGGCCAAATTAGGCATCACGTTAAGTCTCCGTTAGAACGACGCTGACGCTGTTAAAAATCCGTTAGAAATCTCCGTTGGATCAAAACGACGTCGTTTTAAAATTAAATCATATTGTTTGTAATCACAATTGAGTTAAACATAGTAAATTTATTAGCATGACTTATCATTTAAGGATGTGGTTCATAAACTCAATTATCATAAAGTTAATAGCGTTTATTTTCAATGAGATAGTTCTAATAAATATCGATGTAGAAAAATAAAGATTGCAAATTTTGTAATTAAACTCATAGAGAGAACTCTAACAAAGCCTTTTAAATATGTAAAACAGATACTTCCTCGCTATTAGATATTACTTTATTTACTTTACTTTCATTATTACCAAGGTGAATATGTTTTATATGTTTCAAACATCGTTCAAAGTTACTTTTCCTAGCTCAACTCAAATTATATCAATTATTCAACAGTGCAATTGTCCTAGTCTATGTTAAACAGACAATCATAAAATCTTGTTTACCTCCCAAGATGTAAAATATTATAAGATAAGGAAGCCTTGAAATCCCAAATTTTTCTTGTTTTTCACTGAACTTATATCTACCAAGTATTATTGGAAAAGAGTAGATCAAGCGTTTTAGCCAGAGTGAGATCACTTTCATTCAAAACATAGAAATTGATTAGGTACCTAAACACAAACATGTGGGAAGTGACCTCTTAATTTTGTAGTATGAGTATGATTGGTAGAAATTTAATATAAATATTTTCTTACAATTTTATTATTATTATATACATTGTAATATAGATATATATTTATCAACGACTATTATAATTCAAAAACAATAGATTTTTTCCATTAAAGATATACATAGTACACAAACATAATTTGAATACCACTGAAAATATTTGACATAGTCTTTCATTTTCAAAAAATAGTTTTTAACCATTAAATCACAATAATTAGTTATAAATATAACTTCATAATTTATTTTATATCATAATTTTTAATTAAAAAAAAATATTCTTCGAATTATGCTTGTTCTTTGGATTTTGTAAAGTTAATCACTTTAGTGTCATTATAAGGATGACTACAAGAAGAAATGAAACCTATAGCAAAATTTATACAAGAACGATTGAAAACAACAATAGCAATTCAAACAAACCATGGAAGTTTTGTTCTTTCATCCCAATTCAAAAACTAAATCTCCGCAAAATGTGAAAGCAACACCAGCATTTTCACCAATGTTTTGTAAGCTCATGGCAAGAGATATAAGCCATATTCGTCTACAAGTCGGAGCGACACAGGGAACGACCATAAAAAAACTATAAATAATTGTTGCTACGCTGCGGGTCTGTGTTTGTAAACTAATTTTGTTCTAACATAAGCAATAATATTTAGAAATTTAAAAGGTTTCATGAATTTGGAATTTTATATTTGTTCATGTTTTAGTAATTTTTATTTTATTATTCTATTATATATCTATACATTAATAAATACCTTTTTATATCTTATTTTTACAAAAAAACTGTACTTTATAGTCAATCTTTGCATTTATTTATTTTTTATTTTGTGTTTTTAGTATACGTATAACTTTTTACAAATATTACATTTGTCTTTATATTGTGATATTGTATATGTAAATATTTTTCAATAACTACTATACTTCAAGAACCTTAGATTATTTCTGTTAAAGATATTCATGATACGTAACCATAATTTGAATCGAACTAAAACTTATTTAACATGTTTTTATTTTATTTAACATGGTTTTATTTTATTTATGTTAAAGATATTCATGATACGTAACCATAATTTGAATCGAACTAAAACTATTTAGAGAAATTGTTAAAAATGCCCCTTTTTCAATACCCCTTTTCAAAAATGCCCCCTTTGAGAGTCCATTTTTAAGTTTGCCCTCTTTTAATTTTTAATGACCATTTTACCCTTATTTGAAACAAAATTAGGTCCACAAAATACAAAATATTTTTTGGCGGGAAAAGTGATCCCGCAATTTTCCCGCCAAAACACTTGTAAAAACCTTTAAAATACCTTGTAAAATTTTCCCGTAAAAATTTTTCCCGCCAAAAATTTTTTTTTGCGGGAAAAGTGATTTCGCAATTTTTTTGGCGAAATTTTTTTGGCGGAAAAATTTTTGGCGGGAAAAATTTACAAGGTATTTTAAAGGTTTTACAGAGTATTTACAAGTGTTTTGTAAGGTTTTACAAAGTATTTTAAAAGGTTTTACAAGGTAGTTATACCTTGTAAAACCTTATAAAAAACTTGTAAAACCTTATAACTTGTAAAACCTTATAAAATAGCTTGTAAAATCTTATAATATCTTATAAATACCTTATAAATACGTTGTAAAACCTTTTAAAATACATTGTAAAACCTTATAAATATCTTCTAAAAAACCTTTAAAATACCTTGTAAATTTTTCCCGCCAAAAATTTAACGCCAAAAAAATTGCGGAATCACTTTTCCCGCAAAAAAAATTTTTGGCGGGAAAATTTTTTGGCGGGAAAAATTTTACGGGAAAATTTTACAAGGTATTTTAAAGGTTTTACAAGTTTTTACAAGTGTTTTGGCGGGAAAAATTGCGGGATCACTTTTCCCGCCAAAAAATATTTTGTATTTTGTGGACCTAATTTTGTTATATTTCCTTATATATTTGTGATATCTTTTATTAAAAGAAGGGTAATTTAGTCATTTTGTACATAAAAAGGGGTATTTTTAAAAATGGACAGCCAAATGAGGCATTTTTTAAAAAGGGTATTGAAAAAGGGGCATTTTTGTGAGTCTCCCAACTATTTAACATGTTTTTATTTTATTTCTTAAGATATTGTTTTCTTACAATTAAATCACAATAATTAGCTAAGCCTAAGTTTTTTTTTTGTGTGTTATCTTTGATCGTTATATTGTATAGTCGTTAACCAATTTTTCACTACCAATGGTAAACTATTCCCCTAAACCAAACTGTAGCGTACTTATTAGATTCATTTAGAGTCTTCATTCGTCCCATCTGAAACCAGACCGGAGCTGTTCCGATGTCGTTGTATTGTTGAATCACCAAAAACCGAAGCTCTCGTCGATGATTCTGGCGAAACCAACAAACTTCCGACAGGTCGAAGCTCTAGACATTCTGTTCTCTCTAATCGCCAATGCAATCTCGCCTTATCATTGCATCCAATCATGTTCATATCATTGCAGTGGGAGAAGAAGAAGAAGACCGAAAGTGGTTAAGTATGGCCGAGTATAAGTAAACCTCTAATTGAGAAAGAGGGTTTGTCCTTTCTCTTTAGTTTTCAATACGTTGTCGTTTTAACATTACTACTCTGAGAATGTACTCGGATCCCCAAGTGTCTAGGGTTTCCTCAATATGAAAATTACATTATCAGTCTCTCTCAATCTTCTAATCTTCTTTGTTTCTTCTTTGTTCGGGACATTAACCTAACACTAACTTTGGATTTAAGTCTATAAGAGCAAACATTACAAGTGAATTGAAGTCCAACAACCCAGCCTCTCCTAAAACATTAAGCCATTATGTTAGAGCCCAATAATAAAAGAGGAACACATGTCGACAAAGAAAGGTTGACGGAAAAGAAGCGCCGCCAACCGACCTAATCCACCGTCACGAAACTCCACCATGCCGGACATGAAAATCGAACGGTGAACCAACCAGTTCTGACCTTCCTTTCTTCATATCTACTTGAGAATTCCTTGGCATAGAAGAACCGTGGCAATCGATCAGTTTCTTCTTCTCCCCTACATGAAATCCATCTTCGACAACCTCAAAGCTCAAGATACTCCACTCAACTACCTTCATCAAAGCCCTTCGTCAGAGGAGAACGCATCATGAAATAATAAGCCTACTTCTTCCCTGTAAGCCCACATGACGTGGAACGTAGGAA